ACTTTTATAATTGCCATTAATAGACAAAAATTAATTTTATTATCACTCATGATGATAATAAAAAGTAAAACTGAAAAACGGACGAGCTAACTGGTTTCGAACCCCGCTCTACAGAACTAAATCGAGGTTAATAAACTAAATTATCTAAAAAAAAAAAGGACAAATTTTATTGGGAAAAAAATTAAGCTTATCAACCTCGAATTAGCTCTGTTGAGCGAGTTTCGAAACCGTTCAGCTAGTCCGTTTTTCGGTTTTTACTTTTTATTATCCTCATGACTGGTAATAAAAATATATTTTTCTATATATATATATATATATATATATATATATATATATATATATATATATATATATATATATATATATATATATATATATATAAAATTTATTTGAAAATTATAACATAAATATGTTATAAAATCAGTACAAAAATAGCCATTTTGTTTCAACACTTCTGGTGTTTTTGAACACCATCACTTGGATATTTATATATATATATATATATATATATATATATATATATATATATATATATATATATATATATATATATATATATATATAAGAATATATATATTCTTTTTTTTTTTTTTCCTATTCTTTTCTACATTTTTTTTATACTTTTTTCTTCTGTTTCTTCCATTCAGCTTCCTTTTAGATTATTTTCATTATTCGGACTAGTGTCCTCATCTTCATCGCCATATTTATTACAACGTTTCGGCCGTTGTACGCTCCGGCCTTCTTCTTCAGCTTCCTTTTACTTATTCATTCTCTTTTTCTTTCTGAATTTTTTCTTTCATTTCGTTTTCCCTTTTTCATTCCCCCTCTCTCTCTCTCTCTCTCTCTCTTTCCTTTCTTTCTTTTTTCATTGATATCTTTATTTTTCCTTATTTTCTGTTTTCTTCCTTTTCTTTTCTTCGTTATTCTATTCTCTTCCCTTACTTTATCTTTCTTCATTTTTTTGTCTCCGTGTCTTTGGACCGTTTCCTCTCCTTTTTATTCATAGTATATAAAATCTTGTATAGAGAGACGGTAAGAAAGAAAAGAGTCCTGAGCTGTTATGCGATATCTGTCCTCCTTTACGGCAGCGAATGTTGGACGGTCTCCTCAAAGATGAACAAGAGACTCGATGCAGCGGAGATGTTGTTCTACAGAAGGATGCTTAGGATATCATGGACCGAGCATGTGAGCAATGAGGAGGTCTTGGAGAGGATGCAAACAAAGAGGGGCCTTATACTTAACATCAGGAAGAGGCAGCTGAACTTTCTGGGACATTTAATGAGAAAAGAGGGACTAGAGAATCTAATACTCACAGGTCGAAAAGAGGGAAAGAGAGACAAGGGAAAACAACGCATGGCATAGCTGGCGGGTTTGAGCAGGTGAATGACAGATCATGACCTGGTGGAAGCATCAAAGGGAAAAAAACTTATTGAGAGATACAAGGGATCGGGGGAAGCGGGGGGGCATGATCGCCTACGTATATAAATAAAAGAACTTTCCACAAAAAAAAATAATTTTTGGCAACTACAGGACCTCGTAGGCAGAGTGGCAGAGGAAAGCGGGACAAAAGGACTAACTATGGTCTGAAGAAATTGATACTCACAGGTTTAATAGAGGGAAAGAGAGGCAAGTGAAAGCAACACATGACATACCTGGCGGACGTAAGCAAGTGGATGACAGAACGTGGTCTGGGGGAGGTGGCAGAGGGACGAAACTTATTGAGAGCTACAAGGGATAGGGAAGAAGTGGAGAGCCATGATCGCCAACGTCCTGAAGGGACACGGCACATAAAGGTCGAATAGAGGGAAAGAGAGACAATGGAAAACAACGCATAACATACCTAACGGGCTTAAGCAAGTGGATGACAGAACGTGGTCTGGGGGGAGGTGGAAGAGGGACGAAACTTATTGAGAGCTACTAGGGATAGGGAGGAAGTGGAGAGCCATGATCGCCAACGTCCTGAAGGGATTCGGCACATAAAAAGTATATAGAATTTGGATATAAATAAATAAATAATTTCCTGCCTTCTAGAACTTTACTTGAAATTTCTTTTATAATCATCTCTTACGTCATCATCATCATCATCATCATCATCACGATGTTCATTCCAACTCTCTCTTGACCCTTCCTTTCAGGTCATCCCTCCCTATTATATTTTTATCTTTCCTCCCCTAATTCTTTCCTCTTTGCCTACAACCCATCTTTAGTTCTCTGCTTCTCTTACTTTCAGTTGTTTATTTACTAATATAATCAGTCTTCCACCCGTATACCCGTCCATTCTCCGACCTTCCCTTTGCACAAGTCTTGTTTCTCTTCTTGCTTAAAAGAGAAGAGACAGTTGTGAATCTGGCCTTTGCCACTCGCTGCAAACTGCTTAGCCATAAAACGAAGCACCGGCCTCATTGGCCTTCAAAGGTCCGGCTGCGGTTAACAGCTGCAATTAGTCTAGACTTATTGCTCATTCCACGCTGGCACTCGTTCGGTGAAAATTAGAAGTTTT